TTCCTCGCTCCAACCAGGCTTCGTCGTCAAAACCCTTACCACGCAGGCAGCGAGGTATGCGCCCGCCAACCCACCGGGCGCGGCCGTCGCCAATCTTCCCGCGCACCACAAGGTCTTCGTAAATGTGTGCTACGCCGAGCCCGTCCCGCCGCCGGCGGACATCCCGGAAACCGCGAAGCGCCAGGCGATGCTGCGCGAGGCGGACTGGCCGATCCCCTGCGTGGTCAGTGACGGCAGGGCGGACGTAGACAAAGGTGCGCATTCATCCAGGGCTTCTATTTCCGCGCAACAGGGGTCGCTCATGCTCTCTCTCCCTCGGCGTGTTCGCGTTCCTTCCCAGCCGGCAAGCCAGCGATGGTGTTCGATGTCATCTTTCATCCCTCGTTATCAGACCGTGCGCGCAGCGACGAAGATTTCCGTAACTTCATGGCCGGTACGTATTCTAATCCGCATTGAAGCGAAGGCGTGTGTGAGGCAAGGGACACGTCGACGCCTGCCTGTGAATCCCTACCGCAATCGCCTATCTGATACGCGGACTGCCAGATATTGCCGTCGAGAGCGTCGAAGACAAATCAGGCCTTTCCCTTTCCCGAGGTGTGTCTCCTCGGACCCCCGTGCATCGACCACATCTAATCGCTTGCCTCTTCCCCTCGCCTCGTTCCCTTCCTTGGCAACACTGTACAGACCTCGCCCTGCCAAAGCTCGCCAGCAAGGGCACACTGGGTCCGCGCGCCGTGCTCGTACCAGTGCCTGTGCCGAAGCCTTCCATCGAGGTCCTCTCCGACACCCCTAGCACGCCCTCGCTTACGGCAGATCTCTCTTCACCCGTCTCGTCGGCACCTTCCGCCACCAGCGACCCGAAGAGGGTCCCCCGTTGGAGCTGGGAGGAGCTTGATAACGGCTCAGGGGTGCGCATCGAAGTAACTCTCCCCGGCATGGCAAGTGTTCCCCCTTCCGCCTCTTCCCGCATCGTCCCTGCAAGTCTAACAAGCTCGCACCCTTTTTTCTATGACGCAACCGCTTCCCGCACCGCACCCTCGCGCCCTCTCTTGCTGTGCCCTTGTCCTCGCGCTTCGCACCAATAGACGCGGGCCCACCACCCGAAGACTACCCTCGACCTGGAACCTCGGCGTCTGATTCTCTCCTCGCCGGCCTTCGCGACGCTGGACACCTCGCTGGGAGCCCTGCCGCGGGATCTGGACGTCGACCACGCCCGAGCGCAGTTCCTTGTTGCCGACCAGAAGCTCATCCTCAGCGCAGGCTGGGCGTGATAAATCGATGGCTTGATGAGCTGGGCCGTCTGAAAATCTGGCGCCATGTCTCACAGCGCGCTTCGCGATGACCACCCATCGTTCGCGCTCATACCGCCTTTTCTTCCTGCATCTGCGCTTGGCGACCCTCGAGGTCCCCAATTAGGCGTCGTTCGTTGCTGAATTTTGATTTGTCACACTTGTACAATCCCTCGCACGCCTCCATGTTCCGTTACCTGATGGTGGTCGGACCCTCCAACGTGATAATCTGTAGTACCATATGTTCGTCGTAGTACTGTATTGAAGAAAAAGATTGCACCCGAGCGATTGCCGAATCAGAAACGCCTCGCCGTTTTCATATGTGCGCGCCGCTTCTGTCTGCTATCTTTGTTCGAACCCTTGCAGCTGGCAGTATTTCAGGAACCTACAATCTGTCAGCACAGCCATCCGTCTGAGCAAACTCGGCTCCAACATCGGGCCATCAATACCGCGCCCAAGTTTGAGGCTCAGCGGTCATGGACATAAGCGTGTGCTGGAGCCTTCTTGGCTGACATGATCATAACAGGTATTCCATCCGATAAAGCAAAGATATTGACACAGGTTACGTATAGATACAGCATGGACATTGTGATTGATAAAGACTCCGGTTGCTTCTGCGGCAGGGGCATCCTTCGAAAGATCTTGCGTAATCACGGTTCGCCTCGTGTAACCGCAAATCACGGACTGAAATGATACGCTCACGTCATCTCGTCCAGGGCTGTAGTTGCTGACTAGTTTACCCAAGTTTTCCAAGGAGCGCATAACCTGCGCCAGAGGGACCAAAGTTCTGTGGCAACATGAGCTCCAGCTCCAAATGGTGCACATGGCCCGGGACTCGAACTCACCTTCGCGTAGCATGACCTGCAGAACGGCGTCCCATCGCGCTCCGTGAGTTTGCTCGAGTCCAGCCCAGTTGAGCAGTTTGCACAGCGCAGGCAGGTCTTGTGCCACTTCTTTCCCACTGCAACGACCTGCATAGCGGAATCGTACGAGATCAGCCCAAAGATATCGTGTGTGACGCCATAAACGCACCTGTTCTGCAAAGTAGACCGCCTTGCCACAAGCTGGGCATTCAATCCTGGCACCACCATACCTCGCCGGGGAAGAGGCGCTCGTGCCATTCGCAAAGCTCGGCTTGGATGCCGCCGGCGGGGGTCGGGGCAAACTAGATGTGGCGGTTCGGCCCGGGCCTAGGGGTGTGGGTCGTTGAGGCGTGCTCGGAGGGGAAGTCGGCCGGGTGATAGAATTAGGTCGTGTTGGTGATTGAGGTCCGGCCGATAGCGGTGGACTGGGTGGACGGAACGACAGTTGCCCTGTCAATGTCGGGTGGATCGCCTTGGTCGGTGATGGCGGCTGTCCTGTGCTAGACGGCACAAGAGGCAGAGGGCGCGCTACTACAGGCCTCGAGAGCTCGGGTGTGTTCTCCTTGCTGTCAATTGGCGGCAATGGATGAGCAGGACCGAACGCCTTGCTTCGAGGAATCGGTGACTCTGTGACCGGTGCCTCCAGCTCATCGTCCTCCCCCGCCCCACGGAACCGTGGGGTCCCCAGGCGGGGTGGTGTTGTCGGTGGCTCCGCCCGCGGGGAGAAGGCGGGTTTCGTGCGCGAGCTTGGAGTTGTCTGTGGGGTCAGGTTGTTGTGCCGCAGATCTGGTAAAACATGAGCGTCACGACGACAAATCGTACGTCAATGCTCACCTCGAGTGCCAAATAGTTGCATATGACATTGCTTGCAGTATGGCTATGTTCTATTGTTGAGGATTGTTCACACCGTAAACAGTAATATTACGCACTTCACGGTCGTGCTCCACGAGCGACAAAGAATCCAGCCGTTTGTTGCATTCTGTGCACGTCAAGCATGTCTTGTGGTAGACCTGCTCGGTAGCAATCAGGCCATGTCCCCAGCCTCGCAAGCTCAATCATGATTACCTTTCGGCCGGGTCCCATTACCTGGTGGCAAGAGACGCAGGGCAATGTCAGCTCGATTTGGCATTGACGAGGGTGGTCATTACGTACTTGCTCCGCGGCGTAGCACAGTTTGTCACAACGCGCACAGCGCGTCGATCCGCCAAACATGGTGAATGGTTGAAACGGGGATCTCGGTAAAGTGTTTTGATGAAGGTCGAGAGAGTGAAAAGAGAAGAAGAGAAGAGTGTACTGTGAGTCAAGCAAGTTGCGAAGCTTGCACTGCTGTCGCTGGGAAGATAGGGGACCGGTCGAGGACGACAACACGCGCGGCGCGTGCTTCCCTGCGAAGCGCGTGCAGCGGACTTTGAATCGTTCCGTTCATTGTCCACACCCTCCGTTTGACAGGTTTCGCGTTTTCCGCCTAGCATACCGAACAGCAACAAGGAACATCCAATTTTGAAAGCGGAAGTTACACAGCCTGGAATCAAAGAAGGAGCGGGCGTTGGCTGTGGCTTCGACTTCTTGTTACGATATCGCTTACGGGATCCGCCGGTGCTGGCAAAACAGGGTTGCTGTCGCCACATATTACACCTGTTGCCGAGTTTGGTTTCAACCAAGAGCTGCGCGTCCAACGTTCACCGAACTCTTGAGATTATCTCGCTGATGTTCGTCCGCGGACTCTTGTTGTCTTGGGTAGACCCTGGTGGGTATGGCTGCCGCAGGAGATTGCCGTCGCTCATGTTCGGTCTTTCGGTCCGTGATGCAGAAAAGGCTCAAATGTCAGGAACAACCACTTATTAGTCAACAGGGTCCCATCCATGTGGGATAATTAAGGTATGCGCGTGTGCTTGCTTTCCCATAAGGAAGGATGTGCTTTTCACGGTAAGGATCCATTGCAGCATACTCCCGAGAAAGCGCCGCAGCTCGTTTATTTCAGACGAATTCTGACCGCGTCTTCCTTCTTATAGGAACATCTTGACACTGCACTCATGACCTATCTCCTCGGTATTGCAGAGATTACGAGACAACGTGATTTGGGCACCGGTTCCGCGTCTCTTGGCCCCGGCACTTTCCCTGGACAATCTTTGGCCACAGCCTTACAGTACCTTCAACTTGCTATTCGGCCATGAGCAAGCCGGTCCGTAAGAGGAATTTTTCTGGGAACGTGGTGGCTCCATGTCCTGCCTCAGCTGGGTAGTGGTTCGATCGACCTGGAACTTTCATCAAACGACCCTTTGCCATGGTAATTGGGGTCGCACGACACGAATTCGGGACAGCCTGGTCCCGTTTCTTACCGATGTCCCCTATTCTGTGTGGCAAGCGTTCCCCTGTGGCATAGTCCTGGCCACAGCAGGGCTAACACTCATTGTCCCTTCCAAGCCCCCAAACTCGATCTCTCAAACAGTCACTGTCCCCAACCTGTCGCTCCCCCCCCTCGTCCCTCCCAGTAAGCGGAACTGGGTGTGTCACCATTTCCTGCGTGTTAAGACGTGCTGAGGAGAGGCTTGTGAATGAATCTTTCCTACATTCCAAAAGTGGTGTCTTGCAGATGATGGACTACGTGGAGCACGTTGACTGCGCAACCGGGTCATTTGCGCTCCCAGGCCCTCTGTGACTAGGAGGTTCCCAGGTGACGTCTTGCTTATGGCCCTTGGGTTGTGACTCAATCTGACGTGCCTTCCACAGACGGTCCACAAGTCAGCAAGGCCCCATTGGTTCCCCCGACAGGGGGCACTCTGAGACCTGTGCTCGTCACCCCGGCCACAGGTCCATTGAGATACATTTTGCCCCGTTGACAGTTACATCCGAGGTAGTGCAACGGGCACAAACCGCTGAATTACCATCGGGTTTACCTGGGTTCAATTCCCAGCCTCGGAGTCCGCTGCATTTACTTTTGGGCTGCAGATGTCCCACTAACCCACCTTCTCGTCTGTGTCCTCCCCCTCCCCCCAATGTTAACTGGTGACTTGGCGGAGCGAAGGTGCTCCAGCGAGGCGGGCACGTGACCACGTGACTCACAACTGCCACACTAGCGTTGTCTCGCTTCCGCCTCGCCTTCATGCAGGAATAGTCCTGAAAGGTTCGAATAGCCACACCATTCGATTGCGAAGGTCCATGATAAATATTAGAATACAGTACTACACGCATCAGGTTCGAATGGCTCTAGAGCCGGCTCTCCACGAAAGTCTGCCCCTTCCAAAACACGCCCTTCCCAAAGGCGGCCTCGAGCGCATCCTCCACCGTCTCCACGTACACAAACTCAATGTCCTTCCTCACCTCCACGGGCACGTCCATCTCCACGTCCCTCCTATTCCTCTTGGGTAGAATAACGCGCTTGATAGCTGCGCGGTGCGCGCCGAGCACCTTTTCTTTTATCCCGCCGACGGGGGCGACGCTCCCCCTCAGCGTGAGCTCGCCCGTCATGGCCGTGTTGGCGGGGACGGTGCGGCCCGTGAGGAGGGAGACGAACGCGCAGACCATTGCGACGCCTGCACTTGGACCGTCTTTCTTCGTCGCGCCCGCGGGAAGGTGCAGGTGGATGTCGATCGTGTCGGGCTCTTTGAGCGGGTCGTGCGACGGGGAGGTCGTGATGCCCAGTTCGAAGGCGTGCGACTTGACCTATGGCATTCTCAACATCAGCCCTCTTCCTTCCGTTGAGAATGAGAAGCCTACCCAGCTAAGCGCAATTTCCCCACTCTCCCTAATGACGTCCCCCAAACTGCCCGTAAGTCTCAGCTTGCCCTCCCCCGGCACCCTAATCGTCTCCACACTCAACAGCCCACCCTCCCCCTCGCCAGTGTATACCATTCCCCACACGACGCCGACCTTCTCCGTGCGCTCCTGCGAGTCGTCCCACCGCCCCAGGCCGAGGATGGACTCGAGCTGCTCCGGTCGCACGACGGGATCGTACACCTTAGTCCGGGCCGTCTGCTTGCCTTGCTCTGCTGAGCCGGAGCCGGTGCTGGACTCGGACAGCTCCACAGCCTTGTGCCTCACCACGGCCCCAATCTGCCTCTCCAGGCCCCTCACGCCCGCCTCCCGCGTATGGAGCATCGCAATCGCCCGTACCGTCTCGTCCGGCAGCACACACTGCCCCTCGCTCATCGCGTTCTGCTCGAGCTGCTTGGGCAGCAGGTACCGCTTAGCGATGTGCAGCTTCTCCGCGTAGGTATAACCGGAGAGGGTGATGATCTCGCACCTGTCGAGCAAGGGGGCCGACATGCCATCGAGCGTGTTGGCCGTGGCGATCCAGGTGACACCGGAGAGGTCGAACGGGATGCCCAGGTAATGGTCCACGAAGCGAGCGTTCTGCTCCGGGTCCAGCACTTCCAGCAAGGCAGCGGCCGGGTCTCCCATCACCCCTCCGCGCCCAGCGAGCTTGTCCACCTCGTCAAGAAGCATCACACAGTCCCTCCTCCCCGCACGGCGGAGCGCGGAGACGATGAGCCCCGGGCCGGAGGCGACGTACGTGCGCCGGTGGCCCCGGATCGACGCTTCGTCACGCACGCCGCCGAGGGAGATGCGCTCGAATGGCCTGGAGAGGGCGCGTGCGAGCGAGGCCGCGATAGAGGTCTTGCCTGTGCCGGGTGGGCCGACGAGCAGCAGGATTGGGGCCTTGATGGTCCGTGCCTTGGGGAGCACTGGCGCCTGAGCAAGCTCGGCCTTGCTGTCTGCGTTCCCAGTGGCGACGGCTACTGTGGAGGGGGAAATGGAGAGCGCGCGCAGGCGGAGCACAACGAGGTACTCCATCAGGCGGCGCTTGATCTTGTCGAGGCCGTAGTGGTCACGCTCGAGCGTCGCGCGGGCGTTGGCGACGAAGTTGGGGTCGAGCAGCGCTGACTGCTCAGCCGCTTGGGACTTGCCGTCCTCGGTAGGCCAGGGGAGGCTGGTGAGCCACTCCAGCTAGCGCATATATCAGCTTTTGTTTCTGTGTATGGGTAAGGGAAGGGAGGGACGCACATAGCCCCTAATTACGCCCGTCTCCACGCTCCCCTGGGGGATCATCTTGAGCCTCTTCCATTCCCTCACGCCCGCCTTCCGTTCCTCGCTCCCCTTGACCATACCCTCGATCTTCTTCTTTACCTCCGCGAGCTCGTCCTCCCCCGCGGAGTCCTCGTCCAGCTCGGACTTGTCCCCTTCCCCTGGTGACTGGGAGCCGCGGGATGTGGTCGAGTTGGCGGAGGAGGGGGAGGAGAGAGAGGAGAGAGCGCGCGAGAGAGTTGCGAGCTGTTCACGCAGGGAGCTTGGGGTGCGGGTGAGCGCTGTTGAGCTTGAAGGGAGCGGCTTGGACAGGAGGGCGGTCGAGAGTGCCACGCGGTCGGGGACGGAGACGCACTCCAATAACTCTGCTGAGTAATCAGCTCCTCTGCAACAGTGGACCAGCAGCATATAGTCAGCGCACTTAGGGAATCCTCATAGCTCGCCCCCACCGCGCCCATGACGACATCGCACGCCCACCCCGCCCTCTCGGGCCCCACAGCGGCCACCAGCTCTCCCAGTCTCGCCCATCCCTTAGCGGCCCCCTCCCTGCCCTCCCTACCCGCCTCCCTCTCCTTCCCACTCAGCACACGCACCGCCTTCTCCCTAAACGCCTCCCATGCATTGGGGTCCAGCTGCTCCTGCCCAGGCTTGGGGAAGCGCACTCTGTGCAGCGGCAGTGGGTCTAGCGGGGTGGAAGGCGGGTCGGGCAGGTGCACCCGGGCGAGGCCCTGGAGGGTCAGGACGTCTACCTGGCCCGAGCCACGCGCGAGGCGAACGAGGCTTGCGCTCACGCCTGTCGAGTGCAGCCTTCTCCCGTCTTCTACGCCCCAGCCAAGGCCGAGGTCGTCCCCCCCGTCCCCCTGAGCGGCGGGTAAGACCGGGACGGCGGCGATGACCGGTGGGCCGGGTAGGCCGGCAGACTGGGACTCGCGCAGGAGGTCGAGGAGGGCTGAAGCGACGGAGTGGGGGATTGGAATGGTGATCCTGGCGTGCGGGAGGAGGAGGCGTGGGTAGGGGAGCGGGAGGACGGGGAGGCGCGCATGGTCTTGGGATTTGTAGAGACCCATGGGAGTGTGTGGGATGTGGGTGGTTGAGGGGTGGGGATGATGCGGGGTTGGAGGTGTGTGGGGAAGTGAGGATGGTGAGCTGTAGAGTGTGGTGTAGAGCACGAGAGCGAGCCTGTGCCCGTCATCCGTCATCCGTCATCCGCCCACCGAACACTCGAGACGACACCGCTCACCCGCCCGCTCACCGCCCGCTCACTCACCCCGCGGATTCACATGCCCCCGATCACCCAATCAAGCCGCGAGACCTCCTTAGCCGGGCCCGGGTCCGCAGAAGCACTGCACCGCCACCCGAGTTAAGGGAATCTCCGTTGTTCGGGGAGGGGTAGCCTTTGCCCGCTTTCGGTCGTTCGGGTCGACGAACACATGGCGACGTGGATTTGGACAGATGCCGCCCGGGGTCGGGAACGCGTTCGACCAAGGGTGCCGAGCGCGAGCCTCCATTCGGCCAATCTTTCCCTTTTTCCTCCAGTATCTGCACGTGGGGAAGTGAAGGGTGAAGGGGAGTTAGGCCGACGTGCCACCGTACGACAGGTTCAGCGCCACGCGCGACCCACACAGAGGTATTTTGTTGCCTGCTCCTGAGCGCACGGACGCCCCGGGGATAGAGAGACTCAGCAGTTGTTGACCTGGGTAAAGGAACAATTCGGGCGATGACGGCGATCTGCGCCACAGTGACGGCGCACGGAGCTTCCAGTTTGCGTACGTGTGTTCCGGAGCTGCGGCGCAAACCGGACCCAGTCGGTATTTCCACCCGGACGACTCCGTCCTAGAGCCACGGTTTACTTTTGTGACAAAGTGACAAGGTTGGTCTCCTTCTGACGACCATTCATCCCGCTCAAACCGTTGCAACGCTCAGGCGTTCGGTCAAATGCACCAAAATAAGCGTCCATAGTCTTCTGATCCCCAGACCCCAACATCCAACCAGATTGTTTACTGCTACCCCACGGGAAAGGTGCGGGTAGATATATGAGCCTTGAGCGGTGAGGACGTGCTCAAGTGCAGTTTGCGACGATACTAGTCCTTGGCAGGGTACCCTACTCTGCCTGGCACATACTGTACCGGTCACCCTTTCCCACTGTCCCGGAAGGTAGAACCGAACTCCTTGCAGTGGGGCCTGTATATGAGGTCTGGGCCCCTGAGGAAATACTCTGAAAGTGCGTGCTTCCTGCGCTCCCTTTTCTGTTCGCTGTTCCAATAAGATAAGATGCGGTGACGCAGTGCGCCTGCAATAGGATCTTCTTCCTACTTTGGACTTATCCGACCGGTCCACCACAACCACAATCACGATGCCGGACACCCTGCGCTTTCTGGCCCAATAATCCCGCAGCATATGGGCGCATCGGCCCCCAGCTACAACATGTGGCATAGCTCTCGGCGGAGACCGGAACGACGCTGTCCGTCAACTCTCCCTGACTCTCGGCATCCGCGGGTGTTTGCCACGTTCTGGGTTCTTGCCACAATTTTGGGAAGTGGAGCTCGGCTTCAACGGGTCGTCTCTGACTGAAAACAAACTAGACGAGCCATCAACGCCCTCGGCGCTTCATCCAGTGTGGCATCAAGGGCCGAAGTTGCGAACCAAGGTGGCAGGCCCGGCTAAACTGCCGAGCAGAGTGTGGCAAGATACGTGGCAGTCCTTCTTACCCCAACTTGATAACCAAGCACGGTGACTACGAGCGTAGTGAGCTCATTTGGACTGGCGCATCATTCTGCCACACGCTCGCTGCGGTAATGTGCATGGCTTCGCCACCTTTTTGGAGGTCCCCAAGATCGGACCGAGCTGCGCGTCCCATTTTTCTCTGCCTCTAGCCGAACAAAGCACACATCCGCAGC